ACATGACAGGGACGTTAATCAAGGGTAAAGCTTTTGACCGTCGCTTTGCCTTAGCGTGCCTTACATTTCATGCGTTCTCCACATACCGTATCAGTGTAATTAGTTGAGGCTTTTTACCTTTAACCTCAAATGTTCAGTTCGGACCTCATTGAAGACTCTCGTTTCTAGAGACAATCACGGGAGTAATTGTGTATCCAAACCAGAGAAGACTGACAGTGGTAGGACCCTTGGACACACGAACAGCTTCAAGCTGTACTTTGCCAGTGCAACACCAGGGGTGGGCAAACATTTTGCCTGGCAAGCCTTATCCCATTTGCTATATGCATTCCTCTTCTCCCCCATTGGTGCTACAACCCCTGTCCCGCTGAAGAGAATATAAATTCAAATAAATTGGAATTAAATGTAAAAGTGAAGGTTACGGACAAAGAAGTGTACCCTGATTACGGAGACAGCAGGTTTCTCCGAAACATTGATACGAATTTATAAAACTACAACGCTTCATAACCCAGAAGACTCATGTTTTCATAACTATGGTCGTGAGAGCATAAATTCTCGCAGAAAAAGAATGATCCAGAATAATGTATTGTGGGTCACACGACGAGGCGTTGCTATGGAACATAATCCATCAACTGACATTCGAATGCTTGTTGAGTAGCACAAGAGATGCATTGAGAGCTGTATGTAGACATGCATGAAAAATCATTCTATTGGATATGTCAATGGAGAAAGAAATGAGTGGTACAGAAAATGTGATCAAGTTAACAAATATTATGTACAGGAAACCCGCAGTTTGAGAGGAACAAGAACACACTCTATCTCACTCCTGTGAATCGTGCATTGCCCTACAACTGCACACACGCTCGTGGATAAATGAAAACACTCGGCTTTTCAGCCGAACAGAAATAATTGACTATGAAACGCCTAAAGCCGAACATGCACTCCAAAATCCCAGCAGTATTCAACTCTTCAAACTACATTTTCTACACGGAATTTCTGTTCTTCAGAATGGACAAGCTGTGGAGTAGTTGATTGAAGCACTGCGCTGCGAGCTAGAAAGTAGCGGGTTCGATTCCTGAGTATGTCATTGAATTGTTTTCAGTTCACCTAATCCTCCCGGCAGGATTTTGAATACGGAGTATTCCACAGCAAATATTAAATTTGAAGAAAGACTCTCTCTGAATAAAAGGTAAACCTATCCCTAACAGGCCGTGGAGGCCCATAGGGTTGTGAGACGTCGAGCTCCCACATTTTCTTTAGACAGTCTGGTTATAGATGTCGGTAAATAGGGTCATACATTCCATCCGAATTATAGGATTATTAAAGGGTTAATCAAAGGGGAAGCACAATAGATCGGTGATAGTCGCGGTGCAACGGCCAAAGTGCTATAGTCCACCCTTACGCATGCATGCATCCATACATATATACATTAATACACGTACATACACCCATACGAGTACATACATATAGGTACGTACATACACATGTACATAAACACATACATACATACATACATACATACATTACATTAATACAGACACACATACATACCTACACATACATACATACATACCTACACATACATACATACATACATACATAGGTACGTACATACACAGGTACATACACACGTACATACCTACGTACATACACACATACATACCTACGTACATACACATACATACATACATACATACATACATACATAGGTACGTACATACACAGGTACATACACACGTACATACCTACGTACATACACAGGTACATACACACATACCTACGTACATACACATACATACATACATAGGTACGTACATATGTAAATACATACATGCACACATACACACATACATACACAGGTACATACATACATACACACATAGCTACGTACATACATACACATATATACATACATAGGTACGTACATATGTAAATACATACATGCACACATACACACATACATACACAGGTACATACATACATACACACATAGCTACGTACATACATACACATATATACATACATAGGTACGTACATATGTAAATACATACATGCACACATACACACATACATACACAGGTACATACATACATACACACATAGCTACGTACATACATACACATATATACATACATAGGTACGTACATATGTAAATACATACATGCACACATACACACATACGTGCATACTGCACAACTGCACTCCATAGCTGACGACCCAGTAGGGGAAAGGGGCGGTTTATAATCTAACTCGTTAGACTGCAGCTGATGCGCACGAATCTCCCGTAAATTTCGTGATTAAATCATCAAATTGACCACAAATGGAATTCATTCATTAACTAATATCCGCATAATCTCCACTGCGTTCCAGATACATCTGCAAACTATTTTAGAACAAAACTTTTTAGTTTATCCCAGGGATAACGAATATTTACTCTCAAATTAATGTCATAATCTATTCTGTGGAGGACTACTATTATTTCCCCAAATGCATTGAATAACTGTTTCGTAGATACAGATACACGAGTGTTGATTCAGCTTGTGAAAATTTGTGCCGAAGAATTTGAAATGGTGTCCAGTAAGGTTAGGAAAATAAACTGTCGTGGCGTATTGTGAGGTGCTGTCCTTGCATTTGCCAGACGGTTTGGGAACTTTAGGAAAAAATTTGGCTGGGATAAGTAGCCTGTGAGACATAACTGAAGCTCAGTATTGAAGTACAGATTCTGTCTACAGATAATCTGTGGGATAGGGCTGTGACCACTATGGTCGTCACCATGTTGGTTAGTTGATAACGTACAAACTTTCATTCAATGTATAAGTATCGAGATATGAATTAGTGTACGAGTGACTGTGAGTGGCCGGGTACCTCCCCACTTATATAACAAACTCACTATATTGTATAACTAACGAACACCGTATATGAAAGTCTTTGTCAGAAGCTAGCAGTCGCTCAGCTAGTCAAGAAGTTCTCATCCTTTCATGGGACCCGTTATAGCATTTGTGTTTAGAAATACACGTACAATTCTTTCCCCCAATAGCTCTTCCAGCCCATTCAGGGCCTTGGCCTCTTATTGAGTTCCGTAATAACTTTTTCACAGACTACAGGACTCTTTGGACGAGTGGTCAACCCGTCGCAAGGCCTCTACCTAAACACAGAATAAACGCATACACACACCAAACATCCATGACTTAAGTGGGATTGGAACTCACGATCCCAGAGACCGAGCGAGAGAAAACAGTTCACGCATTAGACCGCGCGGCTACCGTGACCGGCGCACGTATAATAAAATACGCATTAAAGAGGAACTAATTTGATTTCTCTGGTTTCCAGGACGCTAAGTGCCTCTGCATTTTAACTGTGTATTCTCAAGGCGCGTTCACATTACTCGTGCTCGTGCTCGTGCTCGTGTGATTCGCTATGCTCGCGAGAAATGTGGACGATATGACAAGTCACGAGACAAGCAAATTTTAAATTTTTAATTTAAAAACTATAGCCAATAAATTAAAATACGACTACAGCCTATACACACTACGAGTAAATATACGGATCCTCACGCGCCGAAGCCTGGCGAGCAACTGAAGTAGTGTGGACGAAGATTTACGAGCACAAGTAAAAGCCAGACGAGCACAAGCCTGGCGAGCACGAGCACGAGTACTGTGGACGCGCCTTTAGAGAGGCCGGTCACGGTAGCCAAGCGGTCTAGGGCATTTACTGTCTTCGCTCGCTCGGAAGCCGGGATCCTGGGTCCGAATCCCACTCAGGATATGGATGTTTAGTGTTTGTGTGTGTTTTTCCTGTGTTTCTGTATAAGTAGAAATCTTGCGACGAGCTGATCACCCGCGGAAATGTAATATATGATTACATAATGTTACAGAACAAGGTGCCTGTATTTTGTTATTGGGCTTGTAACAAGATATTTTTGTAAGGAACATGTCAGCATTCATGTCACAACTTAATATGTAAACCAACTGAAAATTCCTTTGTATATTAAAGTTACAGCTCAGAATGCTCATCATTTGTTACATAAGATTTCATAAAGTTTACTTTCCCTGCTTTCTCCCGCTCTCCTTTCCCGTTCTAACTGCTTTCGATTAATATTTAGAGGCCGATATTTAACTCCATCTCATACGAATAACGCGCTAAATAGCAAATTGTGGCATGTTATACTTCACATATCCACACCAAAATATTGTTACATATCTTAGTGACTTTAGACGCGGGTTTGGATTGGCGAATCGATTTACTGGATATTCACCAGTCTTAACTATAAATAATTATAACACTTTCAAGATTACTGTAATTATAATATATATATGAAGTATTTTATATCTCCTTTAACTAGTCATTAAGTAACAGATCTAAACAATGACTATTCCTCTACAAAGCTTTCCCTATCCGTTTCTTGGCAACGGATTTTAACACAAACTAAAACTGTCACTCTCATGATATCACTGCAGTACAGCACACATAAGATCTTCACACGTTAAGCCCTCACTGGCCGACTTCTAATTGTTCTATCACTTCGAACTTCCCGCGGCTATGTCCTACGGGCAACTGACTCACAACTGCCCTGTACTAACTTGCTCCTGAATTCACTTCTCTTATAAACACTCTGCGCGGACCACACGAAAAACAGAGTCTCTATTATTGATGACGTCACCGCGTTGCAGAGCACGGTCCGATATACGGAAATGTGTTTACCGATCCGTTGCCTAGAAATGGATTGCGTAACCCCGTTATTCTGTTGTTGCGTGTGTGTACTACTTAGCAACGGCTGTTTCTGTGGCTCAGCAGTCCTTGATTAGAGTAAATAGGCCACAATATTATTAATATTAATAGAATAGTACAAAACACTGCGCGCTCGTTCGTGACGTAATACGTAACACGTTCATCCTACGTGTTAACGCTCGAGAAATCGTTGCTATGGTAACCCGAAATTGCGTAATTACACCGAAACTTATTTTATAAATAGATATTCATATGTGAACGTTTCATGTGTTCAGACTGTCCGTGATCAGCACGCTGGTGCTAAGCAACGTGTCCGACCTGTCACAACTTGCCAACACAGAGACTCGCATCATCCTTTTGTATTCTACACGGGAGGAGGCGAGGGAAATCCTGGCAGAGGCCACCAGGCTCAAGCTCACAGGTCAGTGCTTTCAGGAGACGTACACAAACAAACTTGTTCATGTGCATCCATGTCAGATTATGTGAAAATATAACTACGCATACAAATTACGTATAGTTGTACGTTTTTTAGTTGGTTATTTAACGATGCTATCAATACAGAAGCTATCCAGCGTCGAATTATAGGATGTTTTGTGAATATAGTGCAGTTATTTAATGAGAAATATATGTATTGACCATTTCATCCGTTTTATTATATGGAAAAAACAAACTTCCTGATAAAGGAGGCACATTTGGTCCCTGCGCAATTAATTTTGCAAAAGATTCACCTATTATCTTTACCTTATGGAGCCAGTATAGCGAATGGCCACGGACTGTAAGACCGATGGGTCGGAGTTCGAGTTCCTGTAGGATCAAGTGCATTCTCTTCTCCACGTCGTCCAGACCAGCTCTGGGGTCCACCCAACCTCCTGTCCAATAGTGTATATATATAACGTCAATAATTCCTTTTCAAGAATTACGCTAAAATAGAGATATTTTAGCCTGTTATGAATTCTATTTTTTAGAAAATGTTCGTATTAATTGTATTTATTGTATGTATCATATAGAATATATGCTGATAAAATTGTAATTATACGTGTCCTTATATATTCCACAATTTATATACTGAAATTAATATTGCCTGCATAGAAACCATTTTGCCGAAGTCGCCCTCACAACAAAATACGTTAGGCAAAAGTAATTTATCTTCTGATGTATATATATAACGCCGTGTAGTCCGTTAGAAGTCAACCGACATTTCGGAAGAACATGTCTCCTCCAGTTTCAATATTGAACCTGGTAGCAAGCAGAGTCTGCAGCAAGCTCGTTTCTTATTTGGCCTAGTTTTCGAACCTGATAATGGAAGCGACATATTCCTCAGAAACGTCGGTTAAATTTCAACCGGCTACACGGCGATACATCCAACAATATAACCACCAATGCGAGAACCTCAATTCCTGTAAGGTTGGGCAGGCCAGGATTGAAACAAAGTTACATAAAAGAGCAAGTATTGTCTGAGTAATTTTCTTAAGCAAACTTGTGGCTGAAAATGTTCAATAAGATTTCCTAAATGGCGATTTTGGTTGTCATTTCATGTTGAAAATATCATCTACTTAATTTCTAATGATGACGTAACAATTTACGTCATTATCTGATGATTACGCAACATCAAAGACATTCTGTGCACCTGTAACCTACACTGAACTTTTTGTTTTGCAGGCACTAGTTATCTATGGCTAGCCACTCAGAGTGTCGTTAGCAATACAATGGAAGCACCCAGAGAATTTCCTGTTGGCATGCTAGGTAAGTGACAGTTGTTATGATTTTTAATTTCCGATCAGGAAATTCATCCAATTGTAAAACGTATTCATGTCCAGTCCATACAGATATAACTATCACAGACCTCATAAGCCCTATACAGATGTGTACTCACAATTAAAATTTCACAGTGGAAACGAACAAAACACAAAAAAAAATGTTATGGTCATCTATCACAGTTGGAATATACGCCACCCTTCGCGATTTTAACGTGAAGCAAATACAGATTCTTTTGAATTAGTCACAATGGTGCTTGAGAAATGTGGCTAGGCTACACAATAGCCCCTCTACATGACATAACCAGAGCACAGTCTTCCGTCATATAGTCCAGTAAGAGTTCACAGACGTTTCGGGACGAAATACCTCCTCCATCTTCAGCGTGAAAAAGTAAACGAAGCAAACAATCATAAAAGAGCAAACAGAAAACAGAAAGACCTCTGATCGGTGCTTGATTTTTGCGGGTTGATTTACACTTCGGTCCTGAAGATGGAAATACTATGTTCTTCCGAAACGTCGATTGACTTCTCCCGAAGTATATGGCGTCATTTTCCAGAAGATAGCATTCTTCATAATCGGAGCTGTGAGAAGCTCAAATCCAACAAAAGATACCCGATGAATTTTCCCTTCACTAGAGTGTTCGCAGAAATATTATTTTTAACTAACTCCCTGGAGTGTAAACTTTCTCGAGAAACCAAAATTCAAACACGTAGCTAAGTAATTATCCGCCTGCTCTGAGCCCGAAGGTTCAATATCTTGTTCACAAGAACAGCGCGTTGGTCCGTATCCGGGGCCAGTTGAATCCATTCTAAGCATTCATGTTCTATATCTCGAAGGTATTGTATACCCATTGCTAGACAACGACTTTGTAAACATATTCCCTCGAAGCGTACGCGTGCAATAGAAGGACGTCCATTGCTAGGTAACGGACCAGTAAAAATTCCTTCTTAACAAAGGCTGTTTTTTGTGTGGTCCCTTCCGAGGGGTTATAAAGGACATAGAAGACGAGACAGTGGGGAGGCGGGGTCGAATACCTCCACCATGACCCTACGAGTCGTAGGAGGCGACGAAATACCAAGGGGCTCGGACCCGAGAAAGTCTGCACTGGCAAGGACCAGCAACATACACAAAAGAGAGACACGTCCTCTCGTCAGAGAGGGCGCCCCACAAAAGCAAGACCGTAACTGTCAAACAGTAATAAATATCTGGTGGAGTCGACACCAAGACTTACTGACGGACTTTGACTGAATATACACGTAGATCAGAAGTCGAGAGTCGAGTCTTCGGAATTGGCAGTTGCAGTATAATGGCAAGAAGGGAAATTAGGCGGTGCAAAGGAGATTTCATGCGTGAAGTGATAATGAGACTTATAAATCCGTTGCCAGGATACGACTAGTGAAGACTGAGAATCCTAGTACGTGTGCAACGGTGAACTGTAAAGTGTGTAGACTAGCGATAGCGCTGTATTGCCTGTAGTCCCGAGTCATGAATGCATAAGGTGCAATAAATCGAATCATCCAATCCAAACCCCGTCTTGTAAGTCACCCCTACACGTGACAGTATTCTTTGATATTACCCTCTCACCCTCGTCTGTCTGCCAAGAAGTCTCTTTGTCTTCAGGATTTCCTATCAAGAATGTATGTAAGATTTGAGGTTGTCAGGGCGGTGATTATGAAGAGTTCTATTTGATAGGATATGACGTCATGTAGTCCGTTGAAAGTCAATATACGTTTCGCAGAATCATGTTGTCCCATCTTCAAGGCCAACGCTAGTTACATTCTTCTTGTATCCTACTGGCTCGCTCTGTTCTGTGAAAGAGCCAATGGGAACTGTCGAGTTATTTACTGTTAGACTTGAAAGGATTCTGACGATGGTGTATACTGTACTCCTTTTGGCTTGTTTTGGACTTAATCCATCATCTGGTATGTAAAAGACAAAAGGCCACGACGTTTTGGAGACTGGATCTGTCTCCGTCTTCAGGTGGGTAGGGAAGAATAAACCTACGCTGTTGGGCTGTAAGAAGATAAACATAATAATCTCAGTGAGCTGAAGACTGCGACAAAGGAACTAACCAACTCTCATCGCCACGACTAACCACCAATCAGAGGCCGCGCCGTAGCTCAAGACGTTAGTCGCTGGCTTCTCGGGTTCGATCCCAGGTCTAGTCAAGTGGGATTTGTGGTGGACAAAGTGGCGCTGGGGCAGGTTTTCTCCGGGTACTTCGGTTTCCCCTGCCAATCTTCATTCCACCAATTGCTCCACAATCACCCTCGCCTATCATCTGGGGCTGGTACAACAGGCCAGAAGTGGCCGCAGTACAAGGGACTCAGTCCCACCCCACTAGCAATAAAAAAAAACACCACTCAGTGTCATAGGCTAGTAATTTCTGGAGTACGAGTAGTTGAGAGACTCCTAACCTGTCAAGAGGGCCTTGATCCCAAGTAATGTGTTAATAATTATAATTCAATTCTTTATTATTTATTTGCCGAGTCAACAGCCACAAGGCCACAGACACAGCAGAGTGTAGGTACAAGTAATTACATTATGGACAAACACAACTTAAATTAAAATACAAATTACAGGCAAACACTGGAGGAAACAACACACTAACACAGAAAAGTAAACAAATAATAATAATTTCATTAAAACAAATCTAAGTTACTACTGAGAATTTAGAAATGCAAAGTATAAATCTTTAGAAAGAATAATAATACTTCACTTCAGTTCTACTTGATGTACGTGCAAACTTGTAATTCAATTCAATTCTTTATTATATAAGTTCCGAGTCTAATAATAATAACAGAGAAATACTATATTAAGAGAATTTTTTAAATAGCTTCCGGCGCTAACAACTTGTGTGTACTAGAGAGATGACCGATAGTCATTTCACTAGTAGTAGTAGTAGTAGTAGTAGTAGTAGTAGTAG